CATCAATTACTGTGAAGTTCTGAGTGGACACAGTGTACAGCTAGGAAGAGTTGGCACTGTTGTACTTCATTAATGGAAATGTTAACCATAAGTTCTCTCCTATTACTTTATTCAAAGTACATAATTAACATAACAAAAAACAACCTGGGGGTGAGGGGAGCCTGCTGCTCTCTGCAGCCCAGAAACCTGTCTTCACCTGGACTATGACCTTAGCGGTTGCTCCTGGAAGACTAGGGGGCCACAAATTTATTACTATACATCCATCCCGTTTTACAAAATAGTATTTATTTCCACTCTGTTTCTACAACCCCCAAAACAATTAGCTTTTGCCTCAAAAGGGACTACAAAATTAGGCTTAATATCAACAGCACAAACTACATCAATACAAGTTACGTTAAGACAAAAGAACTCCCTATTAATTTGGTATAACTTCCATCATTTTCAATGCACACCCACATACATGACAGCAGAACTTAGTCCTTCACTTCTTGTTTACTGCACTGAAAGTCTGAAGTTGAGGAAAGTTAATATTTTTTCTTAAGCAATAATTTTTGGGTTAATCTCCTCACTGAAGCTAAAGTACATTTTTCACAAGAGAAGTCTCTCTCAACTCTCTTAAACAAGATGCCAGCAAAAATAAATGAATGTGCAGTAGGTGGGGGGGGGGAGTGGTAAAATATCTGTGCAAAATGCTGACCCACCAAAAGCACACAAAAGCATTTGTTCAAGTAGAAACTATGAATAATTTAATCTGAGGCAAATTACCAAGCAGCAATTAAACCACACACACACTACAGTACAAAAAGTTCCCATGCACATTTCATGTTAACAAAGGAAGCAATTTTCTGTAGGGATAGCAGGGCTGTGATGCAACTCAGCCATCTGATCTACTCATTTAATGATATCAGAGATCCTCTGAGATGCACAGGAAATTTTGAGCAGTCAAAAGGAAATGGGAAGCACATTTATGTCTAGCTCCTTCATGATCAAATTAAGTAATTCACACAGGAATATGGAGAGGTCACTTCTCATCCACAATTTAGGACAAGGAAAACGTGCTTCCCACACCCCAAACAGGATCCATGAAACAGGCCAAAGCAGACTTTTGTATTCTGGCTGTCCATACTTGTGGAAAAGTCTGAAGATTTAGAGAGTAATTCCCTGACAAATTAGAGAAATTAATGTAAATAGACAAACACAGACAAAAGGAGGAAAGCTGACACACAACTGGATTAAGCAACTTGCCCAAGGTCACAAAGGGCATCTAGGGCAAAGCAAGACTTCCAGAGTCCCCGTTTATTGCCTGAATCATAAATTAATTCTATCTGAAAAAAACTGAAAGCTGACTACATCTAGGCACTGGCTGACTTTGCCAACCCTTTAACCTTGCTCCCTATAACACCTCTTCCCTATTAAAACAGAACAATTGAGATGCTTTATGGGAGCAAACCAACTGTGAAACTTAACCAGCATAGCAACACTTGGGAACCTTCAAATCACAGAAAAACCGTGTTTCATACTGAGCTGAGTGCAGCATTCCTCAATACTTTAAATAATAGACCCTTTCCCCAGCCACTTTATATTAGTTAGTACTCAGGATAAGCAAGTTCAGCTGCACAAGAAGGATTATTCAGCTTGTCTGCTATTGCTGGCTTTGTCCTCAACAACTCTCTAAATACCTCTCAAATTCCACGAATGCACGTGAATGCTTTGTATTGTAGCATATACAATAATTATTATCGCCCTGCATTTTATGCCCCCAAAACACTTGTACAATTATTAGTCTTACAGCATTCTACTAAAATAGAAGAGTCAATATCCCTATTTTTATAGAGACCAAATGTGAAGCAGGATGGTTATTCAATGTAAAATACATTCAGAGCAGACATCAAGGTTAATACAAGCAGTTACATGTTCCTGTACCTTGTGAATGTGTTGTGATCACTTCTCTCTCTCTCTCACAGATATCTCACATATACACTTGCAGCTAGGCTGGGATTTTCAGAAGCACTGAATGCTGGCCAAAACGCTCATCACAATGACAGCAGAGATGGACCCACCCCTAAACTTCAAAGAAGGCAATAGGCTTGCATTAGCTCCCTGCGGCCCTGTCAGATTCCAACGAATCTGCAAATTCTGCTAAATACCTTGTCATAAGGACACAAAAAAGGAAAGGAAAGGAAGCTTCCCAATTCTGAGCAGAAAGTTGACTTCTTAAATCTTAAAATGCTTAGTCTAATGCTGATGCAACAGGCAACTTTGCTCATCCAGATAGCTTTCTATTAAATCACTGATTCAGTCACACTACAAAAACATTATTCCCTTTAAACCTATATATGCCTAGTCTCCTTCAAAACTGCTCAACAGAATCTAGTTTTTTTTCTTCATTTTATGCTGTGATTCAATACCCTAAGTAGAAGGAGAGTTGTTGCTTCATGCCATGTATGCACATGTATAAATGTCAATTTATGGCCGTCAGGTGTCTCCAATACAGCAAAGGAAAGTACAAACCAAACTGCTGATTACCTAATCTCATTAAAACCTAGCGGTATGCAGACTGACCTACAGCATTTATGAGAGCCTACCCAGCTGAAATATACAGGAATCTTAAATTATCTTTTGGGATGAGACATGATATATATTGCAAACTGTATGACTGTGTATTTTGGAAAAAGATGGTTAGCCATGTTAGTTTGAAGTCAGAAAGAAGGTAAGGCAGGGTGGCACCTTATTAGTGACTAACAAGCACAGCATATTTTGAAAGAGTACTATTAGAATCACCATATATCGGGTAGATACTGAAGTGATAACAACTAAACCTATGGCACAGTGAGGAGCCAGGCAAAAGCGTGGTAGTTTTCCAACAGGAAAGACTCCCACTGACTTCACTAAGCCCTGGATATAGAGCAGTTTCAATCAAAGCTCTCAAAGCACAGATGTCAAAGCTGCGCAACAACTACAAGAGACTACAAAGTATTTAAAACTCTTTGGAAAAGAGCTGAGAAAACTGAAACGTAGCTAATGTTTGCTAATGTTTGGAAGTGCTACCAAATTCATATTCTGCACAAATTCATCTGCTGAACCATTTCATTCAGATCTCAAGCTGCTTGTACTGTGATCTGAATGTAGTAATGGGCTGGGGAAAAAAGCCCTTTGAGGCACCAAAGAAGCATTCTGAAAGTGTGCCACAGTTTCTCAAGTGGAAAGCAGCTTTTTGTACTTCAGACTAACAGAAGAGACAAAATGACAAAACCCCTACATAACACGCAAAGACAACCACAAAATGCTGATGTTATTAAAAGATTCCTGTGACCTAAAAATAATCAACATAGCTTTATGATAATGCTGATCAAAATGTGGATTAATTCCATCAGTAATTATAGCATGTGGAATAGGGCAGTTATCCAAATAATTTATCCTGTATGTGACTATTAACTAAAAAATTATTTAAATCATAGTTTCCCCACCATGACTACAGAAATGCATATCACTTTTGTGATGCAAGAAGTCTTATTTTGTATGCAATACCAAAAACGGAACTCCACGGTTATATGTTCCTGGCTTCTCCTTTCTGAATGTTTTACTCAAATTTAGGCATAAACCCACCACAACAAAGCATGTAGTTCACACACAGGAGAGCAAGAATGCTGATCATTAGCATACTGTCTTGTGTTTTTTTCCTACTGTGGCAATAACAAATATGTGAAGTACTAAAAACAATGGCAAAATATATAGCTGCTCTTTTCCAACCAGGGCCGTGGGAGGAAGTCTAACAGACGTTTGATTCTTTTCCAAAAAATAATGAATTCATAAGGACAAATGTCTCTAAACTCTAGCTGTCTGCTTATAGTAAGTAGTGCCTGTAAACTGTATGTAAATCCCTTGCAATCCACTTTTCTACAAAAACAATCTGCAGGGTAACAAGCTCATAACAGCAGAATTATAGTGATGGTGAAATAGTAAGTGGAAACATCTCAGAGCTGGATTGGCACCTTTTAATGTACCATAAATTGGGAGCAGCACTGCCCCAGGTACAGAGCAAGCAGCAAAGCATGATTTGGTCCCAATTCTGTCCCCACTTCCTCCTTCCTGCAGGGAGAAAGCCGCTATACCAGCCCTTTTCCGGCTTATTTCCTTCTCTGCAAATTGGCTCAGCTGTGTGCTAGGGAGCGGTGGATCTAAAACTCATCCCTTTCCCGTCCCCTGGAGTAACAGGCTTTTGGTGGCAGCCCTAACTTCACATGCCAACTCACAAATCAGGGAGCCCAGGCAGGAGAGTAAGGGGTCCCCTCTTTCTCCTGCATGAGCATGTAGGTCACCTCACAACTGAGCCTTTAAGAAGGAAGTAATCAACTCCTTTTGTGGAAAGTGCACGTACAAATCCTACTATCTCTTTATCTGAGTTGCGTGCGTATCACCCACACATTACTTTGAAAGTCTAACCCTGGAGGGTTTTAGCAGATGCCATTAAATATTGATGTTGTTATAAGCTTCGTATTCCACGGCAATTTATCTGAAAGGGAATTAATTTGTACATGGGGTAAATAACTCTTTGAAGGCAGCTTGTCAAGAGCATGGATTTTTAATACTATTAAGTGAACCAAGATATCCTGTTAGATCCTCAGAACAGTATCTTCTTTATTATTGTAGCATATTGAGTTTAAAGTTAAGAAACTGCAGTGATATGGACATCCTATGAGGGATCCATTTTATTAATATTGTTTCTTAGACTTGGAGCCAAAATTCACCAGCTTTAGTCTGTCATCAAAATTAGGTCAGTGTTTTCATGAGAAAGCTATTTGCAACTTCACCCCATTTCTTCCAAAGCAGAAGCTGCCATGAAATGGAGGGGTAAACTAAATAGACACATCAGCTTCACTCATTTCATTTTTCTCCCCGAGTATGTGGTGCATATCTCTGTTGCTTTTTACTTAGATTGTACGCACTTCAGAACAGAAACCAGAAATACCTTATTATGAGTGCACTGTGCCTAGCAGAATGGAGCTGGAGCCTTGAGGCTCTACTGCTTTACCACTCCTGGTGGTAACAATAATGTGAATAAGCAGGGTTTATGTAGTACACAGCTCTTTTGCAGAACCTGTTGCACAGGGTTGTATTTTACCCACAGGGTGAGAGGCTCGTCTCCTGGGGTTCCTGGGACAACTGGAAACAAGTCTCCAAATTTGTACAAGGGGAAGGGAGGGAATCACATCTTTCCCCATTTTAACAAACACACCTTTTTCCTACAATACATTTACTACAATTAGAAGAGAACAAATATCCAAGTACTACAGGGATTGATAGCTTCTATTACATGGAGAGCGTTTGAGCTGTAAGGTAGATTTATTTATTATTGGCCTATTTATTTATTTTAAAGGATTTAAGGTGGGTTTGTAGCACTTCCCTTCAAAACAAATGTATCAAAAAAGGGGATGTTTTACTGTTGTATTAAGGATGCTTGATTTTAGCAGTTACAATAAAAATTAAATACAGTACTGCAGACCTCTATCTCCTCTTAAAAATGAGGAATCTCTGTTTTTACATAACAGAAAAAAAACAAGGATACAAATCTGCAATATACTTCTCTTAGACTAAGAAAATCATGAGGCTTTTCACTCCTAATTTTATTTCCAATCTCTTGTATCAATGGCTGCTGTAGCACAAATCTAATATGGCGCACAGCCTGAAAAACAATGTTGGGTCCCTTAAAAGTATTAAAACATAACCGTTTCTGAGAACTTTTAAAAACATATCCACGCTCTCATTCAACAAAGCTGTCAGCACACAGGGAGACCTAGCTATCTTTCCTGTATTTTATTCCCACCTCAAACCGGCACTCGTACTGTGTACCTAAAAATCAAATTGCCCAGCGCTAAAAAAAAAAAAAAAA